TCAGGGGTAGGAATCACCACCTTTTTGTTTTCCCAGTGGCAATCTTTTGTCACCTGCTCGAGGTCGCATTCATTTATCGAGCATATGTATCTCGACATTGGTTCACAACGGCTAGGGACTGATGAGGGTTTTTCAACTTTAAAATCGGAAGTAAGGTCGCATGACCCGAGAACGCACTCTTCGATGCGTGGCTCCACTAGCGTTATTACCGGTCGACCGCAATGAGGAGGCTTTTCCTTTTGAGTAACGGTCTTTGATGTTTGCTCCATTGTTATATCAGTTCAAAGAAAGAAGAAGACAAAACTTGTTGTTTTAAGAAAGGATTGGCAAACTAGATTTGAAGAACCCGTAGAATTGATAAGCTTGAAGGGAGTAGAAGAGTTTTTGAAGATTAGGGGAAGTTTTGAAAGTAAAGTTTGAGAAAATTATGGAGATGGTCTATTTATAATATATGCTATGACGGTTTGAAAACACTAGTGGCGGACCATCAACTCGCACTAATTAATGATCTTGAGAACTATGCAGATGCGACGCTTCGGTCGCCTCCGTCGCTTACGTCACGAGGGTGACATCATAATTGGTCGAGATACTAAATTAAAGGCTCAGTTCGTTTCTTCTCATTAGACTCCAAGAAACGAGGGGACTATCTCCAAATCGGGCCTACCCGTTTTTATTATTTGATCAAGACAAAGGAGTTGCATCGGGGTATCCTCGTAATGAATCAGACCCGAGCTCGAAGACGAGGCGTCGAGTGAAGTACAATAATGGAAATACGAGATATCCGTAATCGGTCGAAGATCAAGGCGGAAATCTCGGAACAAATCAAATCAAGGGCAGTTATTTCCACCAATCATGAAATTTGCTTCCGTAATTAGAATTGTACTATAATTAGGATTTCTCTAGTATATAAAGAGGAGTCGCCATCATCTGTAAACACCTTAAATTCATACAGATTAAGGCAATATAATATTTCTCTATTGTTCATCAACTTATTGTTCTTTAACTGTTCTTATTTCACTACTCTCGAGGGTTCATCAGCTCGAAGGCATTGTCCAAGCATTGGTTTGTTTTACATTCTGGTAAATTCCCATCATTTATCTCTAAGTTAATAAATTGGTATTAAGTGAAATCACGTATCCTTAAAACCTTATTACAAATTTAATTGTTACTCGATTTTTAGGGTAAACATACGTCAACATAAACCACTAGTATTTTGTAGAAGAAAAAAAGTGAAACATAGTTTGAGACATTTTCAAGTCCATTATGCTGTACCAAGTAGGGGTGTCAATAGGTATTTAAAAACAGACTAAACCATCGAAGTGTACCGAACTGATAATTAGGGTAGTTTTTTTATTTTATGAAAATAAACCAAAAAAATATCAAACCGTACCGAAAAATTTTATAATATGAAAAATATATTTATGTATTAAGTTTAAAAAAGATAAAGCAGATTTTTTCTTGGGCCTTGGAATTATGAAACACTTATGAGCCAACAAGTAATTAAACTCAAAATCCTAATTCCCAAACCCATTATGCTACTCCTATTGAAACTAAATTATTTCCACATATTCACTAGCAAGACACAAGGTATTGTAACGATTATGAGTAGCAAAGTACAATGTATTGAATATGTTTCCTTTTGTATAATTTAAATTTATCTTTTTAAATATTTAATCTTCTATAGACTTTTATTCTTGAGTCCTGGCTTGGTTAATATCTTTCGTATTTGCTTAATTTCTTTTACATTGTTGTAGAATAGTTGGTAAATCTATACTTTAGGTATCTTTTGTGTTTTCTTAATCCATCACCTTTTAAACTAATGTCTAGAGAGTTTTTCCAAGTCTTATAAAAATACGTTTGTTATTGCATTCTACATCTACTAGTGACTTTTACATGACATTTAAATAAATTATGAAAAATTAATCGAACCGTACCGATACCGAAGAGAAACCAACATGATTGAGACGGTTTCAAAAAGTCTATTTTTTGTTATATATAATAAAATCACCGAAAAATTGGTATGGTATAAATTTTATAAAATAATCGGCCAAAACGAACCATTGACCCCCCTAGCTAGTACCACGTACATACAGCTAAGTGAGCTAACGTACAAAACTCATAAATTTTAAGTTGCATAGCACTGGCCTGAACAAAATACCTGCAGTTCAACCACAAAATAAGTCAGAAATAATATCTTGAAAAGAAATTTCATATAATAAAAAGATTATATACTTTCAGAAAGCACAACAAATAATAGTAAAAACGTTGATAGGTGAAAATAGGACATCAAAAAAGTCGCATTGGTATCTCTCCGTATTCACGGGCATATGCATGCTCAAAATTTTCACAATGATATTTCACGAACTTAGAAAAGACAGACTTTACATTTTTCTGTTGTGTGTGTGTGTTGGGTGTTGGGGGGAGGGGGAGGGGCAAGTACTAGAGAGAAGTTCAATGCAACAAGTTTTTTTTTTCTACAGTTGCAGAACACATTTATTTCTTTTTTTTTTACAAGTTCACTGCAACTTCAGAACACAAAGTAACCAAAATATCAACTCCTGCGAGTAGATGAACCTTCCAAACCCAGCCAAAAGCTGGAAAAAGATACGGTTTTCCAGGCGGACGGGTTGGAGCTTTTGATGTTGTGCCTGTTCAAATACAAAAAGAGAAATTAAGGTTGAGGATTCAACCAGCCCAGTAAATGTAGTCACCCACAACAGTCCATCATCCTCCCGTTTCGGAATCCATTAGGGCAACCGAAAAAAGTTTATGCGGCAAGGACTTTACCAAATCAATACAATACCAAAGATACTCCCGACCAGCAAGACCACGGATACATATCAAATGATTCGTCTGTTCCGATGCCATTGAAATTGAAACAGTGAGATAGAAAGAAAATACTTTTACGTCTAGAGTGCTTGATTTGCAAAGAAATTTATACAGCCCTCTCTTTTGGTTTAGGGTTTTTCAATGTTCTATTGTTGTGGGATTCTCTCATGGGGTCCAAACTCGGCCCGTGATTTATAGCCTGTTTGGCCAAGTTTTTTTTCCGCCAAAAGTGATTTTTTTTATTTTTAAGGAAAAAAAGTACTTTTGAGCCGAAGCAGAAGTAGTTTTTGAGAAGCAAAAAAAAAAGTAGCTTCTCTCGAAAAGCACTTTTCTGAGAAGCACTTTTGAGAAAAATACACTTAGAAGCAGTTTTCAAAAGTTTGGTCAAACACTAATTACTGCTCAAAAGTACTTTTCAAATTAATTAGTCATACACAAACTGCTTCTCACAAAAAATACTTTTTTTAAAAGTAATTTTGAGAAAAATAGTTTTCAAAATAAGCAGATTTTAGAAGTTGGCCAAACAGGTTATTAATAGGATTGGATTAAAATATTTGGAGCCCATATACAACTTTTTAGCCCAGTCCAACCAAGCTCCGTTGAAGTAAAAATTGCACGGGGCGCCCTATTTGGGCGCCCCTTTTTAACCTGTAGCCGCTTTGTCTTTCTGTTTGCACCCGTACCCGTTTTTTTGTTAAAAGCCATTTGAAAAGACTATTTTGCCCTTCTTTATTAAAAGACTACTTTCGCTCCAAGTAGACGCTAGTCCTCTACTTTCGCTCCAAGTATTCGCGTTTTTTTGATTTGCTCTTCTCTAAAATCAAACGGTTTTCGTCGTTGTTTCGAATTTTCAACTGCTAGTCGTTGTTGTTCCCACATTACGATTTAATCAGAGGTACATTGCATTAACTTTCTGGGTTTTATTTTACGATTTAATTTCTGGTTTTGGGTTTTGATAGTCATGTATTTATGATAGGGTTTAGTTTGATAAGTTCATTAGTTTTACTTTTACGTTTGTATTTTTAGGTTTTCTGAACGAGTGTTTATGTTGTTAATGAAAATTCTATAAATAGATGATAGGGTTTATGTTGTGATTAGACGTTCAGAGTTAAACAGATGATAATGATACCTTAGATAGGAGCTGAAGTTTTTTCATGTTTTGGCATTATTTTTGGACTTGAATTTCTGTTTTGTTTTTTTTTTTTTGCTGAATGTTTTGTGCTTGTATGGAGAACCAGAATTAAGTTTTTGTGTTTGTAACTGGTGAATTCCATATTTAGGATCTGAAGTTTTTGTGTTTGTAACTGGTGAAGTCCAACTTTAGGAGATGAAGTTTTTGTATTTGTTACTGGTGAACTTCAGCTCTAGAGCTGAAGTTTTTGTTTTATACCTGTCGAACTTCAGCTCTAGAGCTTAAGTCTTTTTGTAAATTTCGAACTTCAGCTCTGGAGCTGAAGTTTTTGTTTTATACCTGTCGAAGGGTGTGTATCTGAAGGATATTCGAAGTTTTATGACTCGCAATGTAATTCCAACGAATGCTGTGAATTATGCACACGTATGCGAGAGTGATGATGATGCAGTTAGGCTTATGGAAATTCTTATTGTAGACTCTATTCTGTTTGGGAAAGATAACGATTCATGTGTGAATGAGGAGTATGCATCTATCGTTGAAGACGAGAAGGTTTCTGCTGAATATCCTTGGGGTAATGTGGCTTTTGTAAATTTTGAACTTCAGCTCTGGAGCTGAAGTTTTTGTTTTATACCTGTCGAACTTCAGCTCTAGAGCTTAAGTCTTTTTGTAAATTTCGAACTTCAGCTCTGGAGCTGAAGTTTTTGTTTTATACCTGTCGAACTTAAGCTCTGGAGCTAAAGTTTTTGTTTTATACCTGTCGAACTTCAACTCTAGAGCTGAAGTTTTTGTTTTATACTTGTCGAACTTAAGCCTTCTTAGGTGTTGAAGTTTTAAATGATCTTTTTGATAATGTCCTGATGTTATTATTTGTATGTTTTACTTTTTTTGGACAGATGGCTCTTAAAGCACCTAAAGATCCTAAAGTAGCAAAAGAAGGCAAAGCATCTAAAAAACCTAGACTACCTGTAGTAGCCCAATGTCCTTATGTCCCTGTGCCTCTACCTACAAGACCGGGACAAAAGTATTTTGAGTTTACAGAATGGTTTACTCTAAGGGTTACTGGAAGGGGAACCATGATTTGAAGAGTTTAATTGCAACTTTTTTGACTCCTGCACAAGAGGATAAGCTTAGTAATGGTCCATTTAAACACATTATTGCTATGGAGAATTTGAAATGCAGCATGAAGTTGGTTCATTATCTGTGTCTTTCTCGAATATTCACGAATGATCGAGACTCCATTAGTTTCAAGATTTTTGGGCATGATGTTTCCTTCACCCTTGAAGACTTTCACATTATGTGTGGTTTGCGGATCACAACACATAATATTGAAAAACCATTTAATCGAGAGTGCACTATTCTGAAGCACTATTTTGGTAAGTCCAAGGGTGTGTATCTGAAGGATATTCGAAGTTTTATGACTCGCAATGTAATTCCAACGAATGCTGTGAATTATGCACACGTATGCGAGAGTGATGATGATGCAGTTAGGCTTATGGAAATTCTTATTGTAGACTCTATTCTGTTTGGGAAAGATAACGATTCATGTGTGAATGAGGAGTATGCATCTATCGTTGAAGACGAGAAGGTTTCTGCTGAATATCCTTGGGGTAATGTGGCTTATGAGAAACTCATTAATTCACTGAAATATGCATTGGACAAGCAGAACAAACATCATGCAACTGAGTATAAACTTACTGGATTTCCATATCCGTTATGTGTTTGGTTCTATGAGCGCTTCCCAGATATTCGGAAGAAGTATGTAGCAGAGGATGAGTACCTTGATATGCCTCAGGTCCCCAGGATGTTACGTTATGTATGCGTGGGAGAGCCTAAATTTCCCGAACTTTATAATATGTTCAAAACTCATGAAGTAAGTTACTTTTTTTTTATTTTTGTCTTTGTGTTAATATGCTGATGTATTAGTTTTTTTCTTCTCATAATATACTTTTTTGTATTAAACAGAGATATCGCGACTTTAGGGTATTGGATATAATTCCTACATAAGAGGAATTGAATTCAATGCCTTTAATTGGGAAATTACCGTGCAGCCGGATTCGTTCAAATCTAGTTAATGCAGTTCCTTCAACTGCTAAATCACCACTTACTCTGAGTCGATCAAAAGAATTGAATCGAACTCCTGTCATTGGTAAATCACCACCTACAAAGAGTCGATCAAAAGAAGCGAATCAAACTCATGACATTGGTGATTCACCACGTAGTCGGAATCAACCAAAAGAACCGAATCAAACTCCTTTTATTGGCGAAGCATCTCGTACCAAGAGTCGTTCTACGTCGTCTACATCTGACTTTGATGAAGATGAATTACTTGATAAAATATGCTCTGTAAGTTTTGATCTGAAGTTTTTTGGGTTTGTTTTTGTAAGAGTACAACATGTTTTTTGAGCTGAAGTTTTCTTCTATATCTGAATTTTTGTTGTGTATCTATTGTAGAGGTTAACGATGGAGGTTCAAAGGTAAAATGAAAAAGAAAGAAGCATAATCGTGAACGAAATTTTTGATAAGTTTAAAAAGGAGGAGCGAACTGCTATTGTGCATGCGGTTTTTGTAAAAGTGAAGGTAAGCTAATTTATAGAGAAGTCTTTTTATTTATGCTGATTTTATTTCAGATTAATCATTGTTAGTAATATTTTTTCTAGGAATATTTCGATGAGAAGTTTGAACAGTTGTTTACGATTGTCAACAAATCAAATGGAATGGATCGAGAATATGACAGGATGAATGACTGTTGCAAAAATCCATCGGCTTTTGAAGGCGATCAAAATGTTCAAGAACAAGTTGAAGAGCAACGTTGCAGTGTTGATAGATTGAGCAGATATGTAAATGATGAAGCACATTTATCAACTGAGAATATTGTAAGTGAGGAAGGTGCACATAATCAAGTTTTTGAGACTGAAGAACATACTGCTCATGATGCATTGCGTAAAGTCGCAGATGATAATGTTACACATAATGAAGCGGCTGTTGAAGGTGTTGAACTTGTTCAATAACAAGGTGGAGAGGAACAATCCAATGTTTGTAGACAGAGTAAAGTTGGAGAGAAAGGTGCAGATGATCAAGTTGTTGGCACTGAAAAACATGCACCGAGTTGTGCTTCAGAAAGTGATCAAGCACCTCTTCGTACTTTAAATCTGAACGACGATTGTTATGCAGGAGTAATAGCGATTTGCAATGAACTTCTAGGTAGTGCTACACAGGAAATTGTTACTACAGGTACAAAGTACAAAGCATGTTTTTTGGTGAATGTTTTGGTTTTGTAACTGGTGAACTTTCAGCTATAGAGCTGAATTTTTTTTATAACTGTCGAACTTCAGCTCTAGAGCTGAAGTTTTTTTTTGTAACTGTAGAACTTCAGCTCTAGAGCTGAAGTTTTTTTTTTTTGTAACTGTCGAACTTCAGCTCTAGAGCTGAATTTTTTTTATAACTTTCGAACTTCAGCTCTAGAGCTGAAGTTTTTTTTTGTAACTGTCGAACTTCAGCTCTAGAGCTGAAGTTTTTTTTTGTAACCGTTGAAGTTTTTGTTTGTGACTGGCTAACTTCAGCCTTCTTAGAGTTGAAGTTTTAACTATTTTTTTATAATATCCTGTAGTAAAATTTCACTACAGGTATAAATTTTTTCTATGTTTTATATATAGAAAAACTAGTTGATCTATTCCCCCTCTTTTATAAATATGCAGTGGAAGTTGAAACTAGTTGTGGTTCAATTGCCACAACTCAAAAATTCTCTGGTGATGCTCAATTGAATGAAGGTAGATTTGAGAAAAACCTTCCAGAGAATACTGCAATGGTCGTCGACGTTGGTTCAGAATTGAATGATGCTGGAAATGCTGATATTGAGAAAGGCATGCAGCCTGGGGAAACCACAGCGGATGACAAACGTAAAGGTATTCTATAGATCATGAATTTATTATATTTGATCGAAGTATATTTTTTACATTTTGAAATTTTACATATTTTATTTTCTTTTTTATGTTTTTGAATGATTTTTCAGAATTACTTGAGGTAGGTCAAAAAGAATTGGGTGAGATTCTGCAGCAATATGAAAAAGGAGAAATACATATATTCACACCTGTTGACTCACAGACAGGTGTGAAGTGTGTTGGTATTATTTTATAAAATTTAGTCAGTATTATTTATTAATTTTTTTTTGCATGAAGATACAGGATCTGTTGGAATGAAAACACCTTCTGTGTCGCAACACTTAGACCAGGTAATTATTTTCTGCAATTCGATTACTGGCTTTTTTTGGCCTAATGTGTGTTCTCTATCAGTTTTATTTATGTTTATATTTTCCTTGCTTTTGCAGATCTCATCTGATGCATCAGAACTGCTTCCAAAGCCTAAGAGAAGGAAGATTTCTAGTTCTCCTATGTGTGACACCAGTGATATCCCCAACTTTAATTTATGTTCATTTTCACTTGGTAGTACACAAGGGGCTGATTCAGAAGGTAATTCTGCTGCTGTTGTTGTTCGTGAAGAGACAAAAGAACGTCGTGAACAGTAGGGAATTGGTCAAGCATCTGCCACGATGGTTGTAGTTTCCCCCCTGCTGTTGAACAACAGCAGTTAGTTATGACGGAACAGCAGGAAGAGCAAGCAAAAGGAAAATAAGATAAAAAAGGGGAAAGGATGCGTATGGAGAGTATTTGGTTGAGATCTCCTTATGTAGTTTATAAGAAAAAGCAAAGGGGGCAAGATTGGATAGTAGGAAAGAATAGAAGAAGGTGTCCCTTCCATTATGTTTATCAAGACAGCGGATTGATGCAAAGATTTAAAGAGTGGTTGGAGATGGATGCAAGTGAATATGATTCCAATCGATTCAAATTAGCTGGACTTGATATTCCAAAATCATTTTTTACCGAGCTTATGGATCCTGACTCTGATCTTGCGGATGAAGTAAGTTATTAAGTTTGTTTTTTGAATTGGTTTTCAACTGTATTTCCCAAAAGTTCAGCTTATTTTTTGTAGTATAGCTTTATTCATAGTAAACTGCTGAAGTTTTTTAGCTTATTTGCTAAAACTGAATATGCTTAAGTTTTTGTCATGCTGTTTTGTAGTTGTGTAATGTGTTTTTCCTAAACTTCATAGTGGTAATTTCACATGTTATCATTTGTCGTTGTCCATTTTGCAGCTATATTTGATGTGGGCGTATATT